CTGCCGCCACCGCCGCCGATGACGCAGAGGAGGAGGAGTTCGCTTCCGAACCCATATCAAGTAATTTCCCTTTTACATCCTGAAAGATACTAGCCACTGCTACGACGAAGTTACTAGTTAGCACTAACTTCGTTACTGTTTGTAGCAATCTCGTTCTTGACCACCGCTCTGAACAAAGATTCAATAACCACTTTATTCCATGGAGTAACGAGTACAAAGCGGAATATAGGATAGAACCATAACAAATAGATACTCCGCTGCGCGAGGATGTTTATCTTCGTTCTCCACCGGTTAATCCCAGATGCCAATTTGGTCCAATCCATATTTACTAGTGCTTAAAACACGCTCCAACGTGCGTGCAATTAACAAAAAAAAATATATTTATCGCAATTATCTATTTAAAAAACTTTTTTAATGAATTTTATGGATCAAATTCATTATAATGTACATCCCAGAAGTAGGGAAGATTCTCGAATTAGCACGAGAAAGTTGTACTTAGTTGACAATTGAATAGATAAATAACTACTTTTTTATTCGAATAAGTAACTGTTATTGAGACAATTTTGCCTTGTTAATTAAGGGTATATTAGAAATTTTAAAAAATGACACTGTGTATTACACTAAACAGTGACGTTCTCCTTTTTATATATTGTATAGATAAAAGTTAATAAATAATAGAGATAAATATAAATTTGAAAACACGCAAAATTAATACTAAGTTAACTACTTGCATAGGCTTTATTATTGTACATGACTAAAGGTTAATGAATAATAGAGATAAGATTAAAACTGAAAACTTACAAATTTAACACCAAATTAATTACCTATATAGGTTTTATTGTTGTAAAAATAATTTGTGGATTTCCTCCGCCATACTATTTAGATAATCTCTGAACAAAAACGTGTCTGTCTAGCATACTATTGATCTTCAGCAGAGGGGGGACACGCAAAATATTTGGATAAGAGTTTATTTGGATGATTTATTTGAGATATTTATTGTAGCAATTTTTGTGATGTGATGTGTGTGAGATAAAAAGGTGATTGGGATTTGTGAGGCAACAATTTTTTTTTCCAAATTCTCTCTATCCAAACAAACTCATTGTTCTTGATTCATTTCTTAAATTTCTTACCCTTATACCCTTAATTGATGTTAAATCTTATTGTATAATAAAAATATTCTAATGTATGTATCTAGCAAAAAAAAAAAAAAAACTTACAATTTACTTTTGATACTTTGGATGGCCTAGCTTTATTAACATATATAATGTTCTATATATAACGGGAGAGGAGTTCGGTTATTACTCTACTATCTAAATACAATTTGCTAAAATAACTACCTATAATTAGTTTTAACCATAACTCATCTTAACAAAATAACGGATTCTAAACATTATAACTGCTAAAGTAACCATTATTTGATGAGAAAAAAGGATTAAAATACCATCACTTGCTTTAGTGATTTAAATTTTATGTAAAATCAATTCTTTAAAAAATATTTTTGAATTGCACATACATCGCGTGTGCCATTAGCACTAGTGATTATAAAAGATTAGTAAAGACAAGTGTATAATTCAGCATAAATGAGATATTTTTTAAGTTTGTTTATATGGATATATACACACAACTATCAAATTAATGTACTCTCTCTCTCTCTCTCTCTCTCTCTCTCTGCCTTTGTTGTAGAGTTTAGTTCAAGCACAAAGACAAGGCTAAGAAAATTATTTTGAAGACTAAAAGACTTAGCAAGCTTTGCTTTTCGTATTCATGAAATATACAGAATACCCCTGAAATGCAATTCTTATTTCGCGTAAACTAAATTCCATCATTTTCAATTACATATTTGTTCAGTCTTTGATTATTTTAATAGACAATTCAGCCTCCTTACTATCTTTTCCTTGGTAATTGGACTGACATCTAATGTTTCGGGGGCAAGCGGGAACAACCATTATTGAACCTATTTTAAAAAATGCGTGTATTATCTAATGACTGAAGTGGCACGTGGTATCTTATTTCCTAATAGCAGAAATATTATTATCGTTTATTTGATTCTTGCTCTATTTTGGGTGTGAAATGTTTTAAGTGTGATTTACTTTTGCCAGATTAATTTTTGAAGCAACTAAAATTTTTGGAGTTATTCGCTCTGTTTGGAAAGGAGGAACAATAAATTGTTCCTTTCATACATGCATACAATTAAGCACCAGTAACTACTTAAAATGGAGCCGTTTGTTCCTCCCAATTGTAAGGGCAAATTTGTCATTAGATTAATTGTTAAGATTTGGGATCATTCGCTTTAAGGGTCTGTTTGGTTGGAAGTAAAATGTTTTCCTTGGGAAAATATTTTCCGTGGAAGTAATTTTCCATGAAAATCATTTTCCTTTCATCATTTTCAGGTGTTTGGTTAGCTTATTGAAAATATTTTCTTACTTCATTTTTCTGGTGTTTGTTTAACTTTTGAAATATTTTCACTTTATCTCTATTTTTACTTTCTACACATTATAACTACATACTTCTTTTCATGCAAAATAAGAAAATTTATCTCATTGTTTAAATTTAAAAAATCTTAGAGAAATGTATATATGAATAAAAAATATCTCTTTAAGCAATAAACAAATTGCTGGCCATTTAGTGTCAAATATCAATCACATGCAATGCTTATTGTGACATATATCTTGCACTTTCAATGCTGAAAATTTCTCTAGAAAATAATGTCCCTATTATACATAATTAATTACTAGCATAGGATGAGTAGGATGAGGTTTTTTTTTTATTTTGAATATACTAGGGGGAGGGTTAGGTTGGGTGGTACGGGAGAGGGAGTGTAAGGAGGATGTTTTGGGTTCGAATCCTCCTATTTACACTAAAAAAAAAAAGAACATACTAAAAGATGTTTTCAGTAAGTTTGGAATATACTACAAGCGGGATGCATGCATTTCGGAAAACAACTTCAGTAAGTTTGGAAGGGAAGTTGTTTTCCATAAGATGAGTGAAAATATTTTACATAGGAAAATGTTTTCAGTAACTTTTGTGCAACCAAACACGGGAAATTAAGAAAATATTTTCCTGGAAAACATTTTCACCCGAAACAAACAGACCCTAAGTCTATTAAAAGACAAACAGAAATTGTACGTCAAGGTATTTTGTAAGCACGAGGTGTGAATTGAAGTCAATATTTAATTACAGGGGCAATAGGTATTGTATCCAAACACAATAAATTCAACGTGATTAATAACTGTGAGTCTCGAGTTTTTGTTAAATTGCGTACCATCGAGAATTCTTGTTAAAGATTGAGATGGTAAAGAAGAAAATTAGACAAACCTTGGCATATATAATACTCCATTAATCTCATTTTAATAGCTTCGTTTTCTTTTTCATCCGTTCCAATATATAGTTCACTGTTCAATTAAAAAATATAATTAACTTTTAATTTCTCTAAAGGAAAAATCGTTCGAAACGTCCCTCACATTTTGTAAAATATTTTTTTTTCGTTTCTCACTTTTAAAAATATAATTTTACATTTCTTATAAATTGACATTGATCAAATTTGATCTCTACCTAAACTTTCGACTAGATTTTGGTCAGGATTCATCGCGTACCTTGCATATGATCATTTTTAGGGGCAAAATTATCAAATCAAAATTTACATAACCCGATCTATAGTTCTTGTAGTTTAAATTTGAAATTTCAATTTGCCACTTTTAAGACCAACAGTTGAATTTTTTGCCTTATGATGATTTTAAAATTTGAAAGTATCAATCACTTACTTCTTTTTGTCATACTTTTCCCTTGTTTTCTGTCCAAATTTAATTAAATATAAATAATTGATAATGTTTAGAATTAAATGTCTTTTTTGTTTTCAATTTTCGAGTAAAAGAAAATGAATATGAGTGAAAAATTAATAATTTTTTATATATATATTTATTTAATTTCACATGAACAGTATATATAGGCGAAATCAAATAGAGATATATTACACGCTATTCACAAGTGAAATTAAATAGATATATATATATACATATGAGTTTAAAAAAAAGTTATTCGTAAACATAATCAATAAGTGATGAAAAATTTATTTTGTAAAATATGAGGAATGAAAAAATTCATTTTGTAAAATGTGAGCGATGAAAAAATTATTTTGTAAAATATAAGGGATGAAAAAATTCATTTTGTAAAATATGAGAAATGAAACAATTAATGTTGTGAAATGTAAGGGACGAAAAAATTCATTTTTTGAAATGTGAGGAATTATAGATTGGATTATGAAAAATTTGATTTGACAATTTTGCCCTAAAAAATAATTACGTGCAAGGCATATGGTGGATTTCGAACAAAAACTAATCGAAAACTTAGGTATGGATCAAATTTGACAAATGTAATGTTGTAATGGACGTAAAAGTACACTTTTAAAAGTAATAGTTGAAAAAAGTCATTTTACAAACTGTGAGAGATGTTTTGAACGATTTTTCCTTTTCTAAAATACCCTTATTTAATGTACTTTATTATCAGTGATTATAACTATCTTATTTATTAATTGTTTTGATTCATGTTTTAAATTGTGTAACTTGTCATCAATATTATTGTTACAATTAATGTAAAGGTATAATGATTAGTTATGTGCTAATATTAATATAAGTGCATTTTAAAAAAATGGTAGATTAGATTTACTATTTCAATAATATTAAGTAAAATTTTTTATGCTACATGAAAAAAAACTAAAACTATCAAATGGAAAGAGTAGTAATATAACAAGTATCTAGTGTGTGTATATATACATATTTTTAATAATAAAGCGTGTGTGGAGTTAATTTGATATTAATTTTATCTATTAATCCTTAATTATCAAGATAACTATCAATTCATTAAAAAAAATTTCACAAAAATTAATTTATTCTTAAATTGCACACACATGGGTATACTTTTAGCAGTAGTATCTAGAAAGGGGAGCCGTTGAGTATAAAATAAATGAAAGCGACTTGAGATCACAAATTCACAATTGATGGTGTTTTCTACAGTCGGTCAGACTCAGACGACCATATAGGGCGTCTACTCTCCCCCACTCTGTTTCATGTTCCTGCTCGGGCATTAAAACAAACATCTTGCATGCACGTAGACAGCACAGCCAACCGGCGCCATAGCGGGTCTTGGACTTATTTACAGAGTATAGGAAAAATCAAGAACCTCCAAAAACCATCCGTTAGAGCGGTTTTAGAAAAACAGGAATGAAGTACGTATTAGTTACCGGCGGTGTCGTCAGTGGGCTGGGCAAGGGCGTAACTGCTAGCAGTATCGGCGTCGTTCTTAAAGCTTGCGGCCTTCGCGTCACTTCCATTAAGATCGGTTTGTTTTCTTCTTCCGTGATTTCTTGGATGCCCACTATATTCCGATTCTTAATTCCTTCCTTAACTTCGTTATATCCCTCAAATACGATCATGTTGATCACCCTAGAAACCCACTATTACAGTATTATTCTGTCTGCCTGTTCCTTTTCATTGCTCAATTTCTTGCACAAGTGGTTTCTTTTTTCTTTCCTTCTCTTGGTTTTGAATAAAGGAGCAGTCATCTTCAATGATCATTATATGATGGTGAGCGTTTTTAGACTTTGTTGATTCTTTGCTGTTGCTAGTTCTCTGCTGCATATACTGCTTAAGTTCCGACTTATAAAATTCCATCACACGTTTCTTCCATGTGGCTTTTTTTAAAATTCTCCTGCGTATTTGGGGTATTACTTTAAAGCACATCTTAGAGTCATCAAATAAATTTTTGTGACTGCAGATCCATACTTGAATACTGATGCCGGTACCATGTCTCCTTTTGAACATGGGGAAGTTTTTGTTCTGGATGATGGAGGAGAGGTATTAACTTTTGCTTTCTCATTTGATACTGAGATGGTAATTGTTGATTACTGTCAAGCAGGTTGTTTCATGTCAAAATATGCATATCTTCATTTTTGCTTTCTTTATTTGATTCCACGTTGGTATTTCTTTTTTTTACTCTCAACCGCCTTCTTTTATGTCAATATATGCTTTTCTGATTTTCCAGATCGGCCTATTACTTTCATTGTTTTTGAAGACTATGCTATTCTGCTTGTGTACTGTACTAATGCCACAAAGCATAATGCTTTAGATGTTATTGTACATATTCCTCCATTTTATCAACAATCTCCCTATTACATACATACTTTTTCTGTGTATGTGCTCGTGATTGTAACCCTGGAATCTTTTAATAGGTTGATCTAGATTTGGGGAATTATGAAAGATTTTTGGATGTGACGCTTACAAGAGACAACAACATTACCACCGGGAAGATATATCAGGTTCTTATTTTTTATAACAATCAGATGCTACTTTCAGTGCTTAGATTCTGGAATTATGCTATTTTTCTCGGGGAACTTGATTCTGTTTTTTCTTAGTCTGTCCTTGAAAAGGAACGGAAAGGAGATTACCTTGGGAAGACAGTTCAGGTTATACTTTGTACATTACTTGTGCATTGTTCTCATGGCTGTATGATGTTGATCACCCACTGCTTTTGCATTTTTACTGTATTCCAGGTTGTTCCACATGTCACTGATGCAATTAGGAATTGGATTGAAACAGTTTCTGTCATTCCTGTGGATGGGAAGGAGGGGCCTGCTGATGTTTGTGTCATTGAATTGGGAGGCACTGTAGGTATGTTCTGTAGAAGGTTTTTCATATACACTTGGAAGCTCCTGATCCTTTGTATTGAAACAACAAAAGAACCCTTTTAATTGCTGGAATTAATGTGCACTTTCTTTGTTTAGGTGATATTGAGTCTATGCCATTCATTGAGGCTTTACGACAGTTATTCTTCTCTGTTGGTAAGGATTTTTTTACAGGTGGTTAAAGAGAATTTGACTCCTTGAATCAATTATCAGTTGTATTGAGTCAATTCCGGGATCTATTAGATGATCTGTTATGTGACACTGTTTTTTCATCTTCAAATCTGTTGAAAGGAACAAAAAAGTAGCTTATAGTTTCTTTGTCAAGATCAATAGAATGAAATAGTCGGTTTTTACTTTTAAAATGTGGCTCTAGTAGATAAATTCGCTTCTTTACTGAAGACTGTTATGGGATTGCATTACATATGCATTGAACTCAATGTCTCTGTGTAAAATGTGTTTTTAGCTATAGTTACATCATTATCACGGTCCTATCCAATTTACTCTTTTATCTTCTCCCTCAGGACAAGATAACTTCTGCCTCATCCATGTCAGTCTTATACCTGTTCTTGGGGTTGTGGGTGAGCAAGTAATTACTTTGTCCCATTACTTTTTGATTGGTCTGGCATTTGACTCTAAGCTGTTCTATACGAATGTTGTTTGATTTCTCCAGTGACCAAGTTGACTCCCCCCCCCTCTTCTTTTCTCTTCCCCCTTTACCCTGGGCTAATTCTTTTTCCTGCCTTTTTTTTCTTGTTTGCAGAAAACTAAGCCTACACAACATAGTGTAAGGGAACTAAGAGCTCTAGGCTTGACACCTCATTTTTTGGCATGCCGTTCTGCTGAGGTATTTTTTGTCCATCTTCTCTGCAGTAATATAATGTTGTGAGAAATATTGCATTCAAATGGATGAAATTTGAGACAACTTTTTGATAGTTTTTACGTGGACATGAACACTTTGCCCCAGATTCTGTGACTTGAAAATCGTAGTTATGGTATTGCATTCAAATATATTTTTTTGTTTGTTTCACGTGGCTTTGCTAGCGTTGGTTATAGTATTGTAGCAAAGTGTAGTTGTTCAACTTCATTGTGTTAAAGAGTTATACTTTATCATCATGTTGAATTAGTTTTTTATTTGGAATTTTTCTCTGTTCAGTTCTCTAAATTTGGCAGAGTAAAGAAAAACGGTGATTGTTCAAGATAATTTCTTAGTTAGATATACTGTTGTTTCTTTGCTCTGCTCTAAACACATGTAATCTATTTTGCCTTTTGGTTATGTTGCAGCCATTGTTGGAAAGTACGAAGCTGAAGCTTTCCCAATTTTGTCACGTAGCTGTAAGTATCTTTTTCCTTGACTTTGCTTATTATATTCCTATATGAACTGTTCTATGTTTGGAGTCTTGCGGCTTTGATAATAATCTCACCTTCATGATGTTTCAAACATGTGGTCTTTTTTAAGGATGGTAATATACTCAATATCCATGACGTTCCAAATATTTGGCACATTCCTCTTCTGCTTCGGGTGGGTGTCAACAACATTGAATTCCTTGTCATGTTCACCCTTTGAATCCTATTTTCTGATGCTGAGGTTTTTTTGCAGAATCAAAATGCTCATGATGCCATTTTGAAACACCTAAATTTGAGGAGGTAGTCTTACCTTTAACTGTTTCAGCTATTTGGCCTCAGAATTTGGGTTTTTAAAAGTATAATTAGGCCCTTTCTAAAGTTGATGAATCACATAGCGCTAGTGTTGATGGCTATCTCTATTAGATTTTTGGTGCAATGGTAGCTTTATATTGGATTAAAAATTCCATCATGCTGTTGTTTAGGGAAGCATCAATAATGAACTGAGGTTACAATTTTTGGATTAACCTTCTGCTAACTTTTACTATATATCTTTCAGCGTTGCAACACCTCCTGAATTACAGGAGTGGACCAAGAGGGCTGAGACTTTTGATAACCTCCAAAATAGTGTTAGTATGACATAAAGTATATTCATTTACTTCTAATTTAATTGTTTGTATTTTATTGAGAGGAAATTCCTTTTGTAGGTTCGAATTGCGATGGTTGGGAAATATGTTGGTTTACCAGATTCTTATTTATCTGTAGTTAAGGTAACATGCTATTTTGCACTCCTTGTATCCTTTGAGCTCTATGGAAGTAACAAAATTGTTGTTGATGCTGTACAGTCAAAATCTGTTCATCGTTTAATATACCAGTGAATCCTGATCTTCCATTATGCACTTTTGTACTACTGGTTAAGCCAGTGACTTCCTTTTTGCCCTCTGAACATATTGTATTCATTTTCTTTGAGTCTTTGGAAGGACCGCTTTAACAAATTCTAAAAATTTCCCTTTTTCAGAAAAAAAATTTTAAATTTGTGGATGATGGTTAGGCCATTCGTTTTGTATTTCCAACTTTTCCTTGGATGATTTCTGGGTACCCTGATACAGGAGTACTCTAATTTGAGTTGAAAAGAATCCTGCACTAAACAAGAAAAAACATCCAAAGTGTTTTATCGTTGCTTTCACTTTTGTTACCAAATTATATCATTTGTGGAATTCTGTGAAGTACCATTGATAGCCTTATGGTGGGATGCTTCATTTAATTAACAGGATACCAATATAAATGCTTTGAAATTCAATGTGGATTGCTATACATACTCTCCATTACTCAGAACTTCTATAGCAGAGGCATATAAATCTGTTACTTCTAGGTCCTGAACCTACATCTTGTTCTTTAGTGCTTAGGCTGTTCTGATTCATTTCACGTTTAGGCTCTTCTGCATGCCTGCATTGCTCGTTCACTGAAGCCATCAGTTGACTGGATTGCAGCTTCAGATCTTGAAGATGAAAGTTCAGAATCGGTGCACTAGTTTTTCCTAGTTTTTCATTTATGGTTTTTGTGGTTTAGTATGGGTAATTTGACTGTTTGCTAATATTTGGGCTGTGTTCTAGACACCAGAAGCTCATACTGCTGCATGGAGGACTCTAAGAGTAAGTTTTCACCTCTTTTTGTAATCAATGTACTTAAAATCCTTCAGTCTTCAACTGAAACTAGTTTGTTGAAGTTCCATACTTAGAAGTTGAACATAATCATGTTGTTCTCCAAATTGTTTTGAAGCCTTTAATTAGGTTAGGATAGGGATTTATGGCTTGATGAATACAATTGGAATAAAAAGAAATGGTTTAAATGTGACAGATTAGGTACTTTTGGTCTGGACAGGTTTAGGAGGGAATGGAGGTATCACTTAAGTTTAAAGCTCAAGTTTGTATTCAGCTAGGAAGGGCATAAATGGAATAGAGCGGGTTATTTGATGAATTTATCATGGGGTTTTCGTCTCATTTAGGAGATTTAGCATGCAGAACGCATATCATATGGACATACGTGTTTGATTGAGTAGCAGATGTTTGTCATTTTCTCTGCACTCTTTTGTACTGGCAAGTTCTTCTGACAAAATAATTGTTGGATGCCCCCATGCAGAGTTTGATTTATGTAGAATCAACTCTGGATGGATGTGATTATTATCACAGATTTGGAGCTGGTAATTTTTTGAACTGGAATTAGAATTACTGGTCATTGTTTATCCTAAACCTATTCTTTGATAATCTAAATTTGGAACCCTCTATTTCTGTACTGTTTGTTTATTTTGCCCTGATTTTGGCCTTCTTTCTTATGCCCTCTCTCTCTCTCTCTCATGCGTGTGTGCTTTTTTTTTTTGGGGGGGGGGGGTGTGGGTGGTGGGGGATGATAGGGGTTTGTCAACATAAGTTTTGCATGCGAACAATAAGATTTACTTGTCATAGTGTCCTTGAACAGAAAAAATAGAAAAAGGGGGGAGGAGGAGTAGGCAATTGAATGATATTTCTGTCTTCCAAATTCTCATGAACAGCACCTTTTCCGTGAAGAAGAAGGTTTACTTGCTTGTCGTACTGTCCTTGAACAGAGGGGGGGGGGGGAAGTTGGGGGTTGAATGATATTTTGGTCTTCCAAATTCTCATGAAAAATTCCTTTCAGGAGGCATCATGTGTCTTAGTACCTGGTGGGTTTGGAGACCGTGGTGTGAGGGGAATGTTGTTGGCTGCCAAGTATGCAAGGGAGAATAATGTTCCTTATCTTGGGATTTGCTTAGGCATGCAGATTGCTGTGATTGAGTTTGCAAGATCTGTAAGCCACTCTCTTTAAAACGTAATCCAGGTTTTATTTCCCCCTCACAGTACAGTTACCTTATCTCATATATGCTGTCAAGGTTTTGGGTTTGCAAAGGGCAAACAGTACAGAGTTTGATGCTGATACTCAAAATCCGGTTGTAATTTTCATGCCAGAGGTATTTTATGCTTGAATAATTTGATTGACATGCACTGTCAAATGCATTTGACTAATGACTGGTTTTTTCATGTCTTATAGGGTTCTAAAACACATATGGGAAGTACCATGAGGCTTGGTAGTCGGAGAACATTGTTACAGACTCCTGATTGTATCACTGCAAAGCTGTATGGCATAGTTGCATGATTTGTGTAGTAAAATGCATAAGTGTCAGATCCTGAAGTATGATTGTCATTAGAACTCCTCTAATACAAAGAAAAATTTGAAAAGAGATAATTTCTAAATCCTAGAGCAATGATAGTCATTGGGTGCTGGTGCATCTCTTTTAGTTTTAGGATACTAATGTTATGGATATGCCTTTGGGCAACTTTGCCTTGTGGCATATGAGAGTTCTGACCAAGAATGCCACCATACTGCTCATCCACAATTTGGGGAAAAGCCTTACAAAAACTAAATGTTTGCTCATATACCTTGTTGGAAAGATATATCCTTGTCTGTAGGTTCATAGTTAGGCATGCTGGTAGATATAATCTAGAAGAGGAGATAAACCATTTTCCCATCCCTGGTAGAAGGATTTTTGAAAATTAAAAAATCATTAAACTGAGCTTTACTCTATGTAAGATCTTCTGAAATGCATTAGATTTTCTGCACACATTTTAATGCTTTCTTTTGGCAGGTATCATAACTCAGAATATGTGGATGAGCGACATCGACATAGATACGAGGTTGACCTCTTAAAATGTTCAATGCTTGCTATCATGTGATTTGCATGGATATCTAATTATCTCAATTATGGTGCAGGTGAATCCTGAAGTAGTTGGCATTTTGGAGGAAGCTGGATTGAGATTTGTGGGAAAGGATGAAAGTGGGAAAAGAATGGAGGTCAGTTTTGGATAGGATTTTTCAAAAAATTGATGACTGTTGCTTGTTGAATGGTTAAACTGGCTAAATGCTGGGGGTGGGGAGCGAAACAACGAGGTTCTTTTTGATTGCTATAAAATGGACATGTAATAAAAGGGTTTTTTAACTTCCTTGTCCTTGTAACAAGTATTTGGCATTTTGGAGGAAGCTGGATTGAGATTTGTGGGAAAGGTTGCAAGTGGGAAAAATATTGAGGTCAGTCTTGGATAGAAATTTCGACAAATGTGATGACTGTTGCATGTTGAATGGTTTAAGTGGCTAAATACTGGGGGAGGAGCAAAACTATGGGATTGGATTAGCGTGATGTAATATATACAAGTGAGAGAAGATTTTTGACTTCCTTGTCCTTGTAATTTGATTTTTTCTGCCTCCTTGAGTTCTCAACCTGTCCTCCATCCCGGTTCATATCTTTTACTTTGTGCAGATCTTAGAGAATCCCAGCCATCCATTCTATGTGGGTGTTCAATTTCATCCAGAATTCAAGTCACGACCAGGAAGACCCTCAGCTCTGTTTTTAGGTACGTAGAACTTTTCTGTTTTTCTCCATGAAAATGAACTGTTTTTATTGAAATTTTATCCTATTCATAAGCAGATTTAGTATTACTGACACAAGACAAGATAGTGATGCCCTTTTCTAGCAATGTTGTCGTAATGTCTGTATTGGGTAATTAAGGAAAACATTTTGAATTGCATTTTCAGATTTTTATGCTACCTAAAATCTGGGGTTCTCTGTAGGGTTAATTTTGGCGGCCACCGGGCAATTGGAAGCATACCTTACAAAGCAACAGAATGGAAGCCTATAGTCATCATTTTGGATTGTTGCTCAACTTTACTAGGTACTTTGCAATTTTGAGAGGACTTGGGTAATTAAAGGCCTACGGAGTGCGGCTGGAAATTGTTAAAACATTTTTAAAAGTAAGCAGTCGTTCTGACATTTGCCCAATTTTACCAAATGTTATTATTTATTGCAGTAATTTGCGTATCAATTGCATATTCATAGTAAGGGGTTCTTGTTTTGAGATTGTCGATCTCTCTTAGACTGAGTGATCGTGATGTTTTACCAATTAGTATAGGTGAATTAGCCTTTTAGATTTGTAGTGATACACGAGACAAAACATAGTAATTGTACATTTGAGCTTCCACTCCCCAGGTATTGATGTCCGCAGTGTCCTGTAAAGAGCATTTGAAGGTGATGAAGCTGTGGATAGGAAAATGCTTGTGGACGGCCATATTTATATTTAGCAAATTGTGAGTTGCGGAACTTGGAATTGTATGGCGAAATAGTGAACTGAGGGGTGAGCTATAAACCCTTTCAATTCAATTGGGGGTCTTCTGTGTTGAGCAACGAGTTAAAATACTTTAACATTAATTTTAGTTTGGCCGTCAATAATGTTGACAGTAAAATGTTTCAAGTTTGTGGCTTTTCGTATTCTTTTTACTTCCTATACTGCTGTGTATATGCCCCGCACCTTCTGTTTTGCAGTTCTTTTGACGATTTAAGGCAGGTTTAGCTGGTGTAACACATACGTTGTTATGGCTGCTGTTTTAGGCAAATACCGTGGTCGGATAATCGGATACGAAAATTCTGAAATGAAAGTATAAAGGGAAAATGGTCAATTTAGTCCCTAAATTTTTTTTTTCGGTCGATTTCAGCCTTATATATTATTTGTAGCCAATTTAATTTTTAAATTTATATTTTGGTTCCAATCAAGGAACTCAGCGGCGGAGCAACCGCATAATTTCCTTCAAACTCCTAATTGAGCAATCCAAAAGGGGTATTTTAGGCGCATAATTTCCTTCAAACTCCTAATTGAGCAATCCAAAAGGGGTATTTTAGGGATCTTGATGGTGGGGTTGTAACAAAAATTAACCGACAGATAAGTTCTGCTAGAAATACCCAAAATCCAAAACAAAAACAAAAAATTTTTCAAAGCTGCCAAGCGGTGTTGGTGGGGTTATGAGGTTTTTGTACCCGGGAGGAAATGATTTCCAAGGTGTTTTACCACCTTATCTGTTTGATTTGTGTCCAAGCTTGGTGGAGTTGGTGTTGTCCTGCAATAATTTGTCAGGTAATGTCCCTGAAAGCTTTGGTGCATGCTCTGTTTTGGAACTATTTGGTATCTCAAACAATAAATTTGAATTACTTGTTGATACCCTTGTGAAGATGAGTAACTTGAAGAATGTCCTTGTTATTCAATAATTTCATTGGTTCTTTGCATGAATCTTTGTGCAAGATGGTCAGTTTGGAGACTTTGGATGTGAGTTCTAACAATCTATCTGGGGCGATTTCATTTGGGATTTGTCAGGACCCCAGGAACAATTTGAAAGTGTTGTATTTTCAGAATAATTTGCTCACCGATTCAATACCAGAGAGTGTGAGTAATTGTTTCAAGTTGGAATCCCTGATCTCAGTTTTAACTACTTGACTGGGACAATCCCATCTAGCTTGGGATCATATCTTAGTTTCGTGATTTGATTGCTTCGTTAAATCAGCTTTATGGAGAAATCCCACAAGAGCTAATGTACTTGCTTAGAGAATCTGATTCTTGATTTCAATGATCTGAATGGATCAAACCCTGCTAGTCTCAACAATTGTACGAATTTGAATTGGATTTCACTCTGAAATAACTAGTTGAGTGGTCAAATCTTGTGATTTTTAAGCTCGGAAACAACTCGTTATCTTGGAATATTCCTGCAGAATTAGAGGATTGCCGTAGCTTGCTTTGGTTGGATCTTAATACCAATTTTCTTAATAGGACTATCTCTCCTAGTCTATCCAAACAAGCTGGCAATATTGCTGCTGCACGGCTTACAGGGAAATGGTATGTGTACATCAACAATGATGGAAGCAAGCAGTGCCATGGAGCAGGGGATTTGCTAGAATTTGTAAGCAGTGCCAGGGAGCATGGAAGCAACCCCACCAACACCGCTTGGCAGCTTTGAAAAATTTTTCGTTTTTGTTTTGGATTTTGGGTATTTCTCACAAAACTTATTGTCGGTCAATTTTTGTTACAGCCCTACCATAGAAATCCCAAAATACCCCCTTTTGGGTTGCTCAATTAGGAGTTTGAAGGAAAATATGCGGTGGCTCAGCCGCTGAGTTCCTTGATTGGAACCGAAATACAAGTTTAAGAATCAAATTGGCTACAAATAATATATAAGGATGAAATTGGTTTACGCCCTTGCTGCCTTATGACTCAATATTGCCAAACATCCTTAATAAAGATATGCATAATATGCATGATAAATGAATTTTACATACAAATTTGTATTACTAGTAAAGAAAATCTTAATCATCTATATTATTTTGACAAAATGACTGTTATGTTGGTAGTTACTACTTTGGGCGGTTACATATTAAAGAATATGTTTAAATAGTAGATGGAGAAATGCGTATAAGTAGTTATCTTATCTTGATAACATGTCTTAGGGTAATTAGAATTAATTTTTTACAAGGATAAAAATGGAGGCACATAAAGTGATAATAAAATGTTTGCACCAAACCCTTTCCTCTTCCTTTATATATGGTATGAATATTGGCATAAGTGTAGTATTGGTATGTGTATAGTGCCAATATGTTTATATAGTTTAAATATTGTAGCTTAGGGTTAGTCATGTTGAAAAGTAAATAGTTGAAGTAAAACATCTTTTCAAGATAATTAATCATAAATATGTCTTTAGGTAGTTAAAAGTGGTTTTTATAAGGGTAAAAATGAAAGTTCAAAAAGTGACAAAAAAATGTTTACACCAAACCTTCAACCTCTCTCTTTAGGATTAATTTTTTTGACACCGACAGTGTGCATATGTGTCAATATTGAATGAAGGATAATTATGCAAAATTTGAATTTGATATTCAATTTTTGTACATATGTCATAAATTCAACGGTGATAGTGTATACACTATCAGTAGTGTTGCTCCTCTTTTTATATATCGTATAGATATCAATTTTATTTTCTTGGCAGATGTTAATTGTTGGAGTATCGTGATCTTTATAGTAACTTCACATTTTGGCAAGGAGCAAACACTAACAACTTTTTAGATCTACCTCATCAAATCTCACCTAACATTTGAGTGTGAATCATTTCATTAGTAGATTTAAAAGGAAACAAGCTAGAAACATTGCATAGATGATTTTAGGGCAATAAATGTTTTATTTTTTAATATTTTTTTGGAGTTCGTATTGTAATATTCTATTGATTTTTCAAATCTGTATTATCTACTATTTGTTGTTCAGATTTGTTTTCATCTATGTATGATTGATGTAATTTCTGTCATAAGTGCAGATTTAACAAAATGATGATGTTTATATATATATATAAAGTTCTGGAATTTGTTTATTAAGGTGTCAACTAGGCGCATTTGACTACTTAGGCCCTGTTTGGAACGTAGGTTTTTTAGCAAGTTTGTTTGCTACTAGTTTTTTAACAACTTTTGCTACAGGAACCCCAAAAAACTCTACAAAAATTTCTTGGACTTGTCTGAAACTTTTAATTGAAACTGCGTCGTTTTGGCAAAAAACTCAAAAACTCAAAAAAAAAGTGATTGCCCGTCCTCGCGTAAGACAAACTCAAAGACTGCTAGGTTCTTCCTCAGCTCAACGGACAGAAGGCAGGCTTCCTGTTGCTGAATCGCAGGTGAACAAGCTAGATCGTCTCACTGGTAGGCTGATAAGTTTGGAGACAAGCTACGCACGAGGTTTTTCTACACTTCTGTACTGGTGTAGCAGTGTCGCTGGTGTCCTCCGAAGCAGTAGCATTTTCATTTTCATCGCCGACAGTTGCTGAAGTCCGGCAAGAGCCTTGGGTGGCTGATAGTAGTGTCGTCCACCACGGTGAGCTCTGCAACAGCTACCCTTGTCCGGCCGCAACAAAAGCCCTCTACTTTCAGGTGCATAACTACCAGAACTGAACTCTGAGATTAGCTCGGATGCTTGATTTTTCTTTTTTTTTTTTGAAGCGGCAGCTTGCTAAAATGACTGAGCAGTCGCTATTCGTAGTACATTTCTTTCCATGTGGGTATTTTTTTTTTAATTGGTGGGATTGTTGCTAATTTTTATGGCCTTTGCGGATACATTTGTAATGTTTCCGATCTGAGTATGCCGGATAGGATGTTGTGGTCAACTACTTGTGAATAATTTCAGTTGAAGCCAAGAGAACTCTGTGTGTTGTTATGTGTAAACATTTCCTACTGGTCAGATCTTATACTTAAATTAGATGCTTTTTAACGGAAATTATCTTATGACATGGGATTTAAGTATGAATTATGAAGACAAAATAGTTCCGGTTTGGCCATGAGTTTTTGGTGTTTTTTCCTGATTACTTGAGTTTTTTGTAATCTGTTGGATGGACCATCATAATTGACTATTGTAATGGAAAAAAGGCGAAAGCAAATGTGGTATTTTAGTTAGGAATATGTGTTGGTTTAGAGTGGAATTCATTTCTGGTTTTTTAGAGTGGAATTCATTTCTGGTTTAGAGTGGAATATGATCTGGTTTAGAGTGGAATTCATTTCTGGTTTATTAGAGTGGAATTCATTTCTGGTTTAGAGTGGAATTCATTTCTGTAAGATAATTTTCCAATATTTGGAATTCATTTCTGGTTTACAGTGGTTGAGGCTTGTGTAAGTCGCACCTCCTAGATGTTGTGTGTATGAAATGGGCATGCTGTGTGTATGGAACTTCCAAGTTTTCGAACTTTAAAAAAAATTTCTTGGTTTTTCTATTGCATTTTGTTCACGGAATTCATACTAGAGGTTGGTGTATTAGACATCATATTATTTATTTATTGGCCCTGTAGCATGCAATTAATTTCATCAGGATGAATCTGCTATTGTATATACTGCTACTTTGAGAGTAATTTCCTGTTTGCAGCCTATAAATAGCTTTTAAATTTTCTGGAGTTACTTGAGTATTTGTTGCTTGTTGCCTGTTTAGTTGGTTGGTTTTTGTTGGGCCAGTAATGGTACAAATTTCTGCAGCTTAAACTAGCGAATAAGATGGACTTGCATGACAGGATAGTTTTAATCATGTCAATAAGTTGTTTTTTATCGCCAATATCTGGTCTTAAATGTTTGTTTTCCAGATGAAGATCTCAATATCTGTTTACATATGCTCTCCAGTTTGTGCTGTTTGACCATTTCTTTTAGCTGTAAAATCACTAGTTCTGGATATTTAGATGCTTTTTTCTTCTATGCACAACCCTATCTGTTCGCTCCAAGCAATGCCAAATGCTAATGTGTCTTCACCGTGATTATATACCATGCCAAATGCTAATGTGTGTGCTGAATTGATTCGTTATATACTATGGCAGTTTGACATGGAATTGACTGCAAATAGCTATCTTGGTTGCATGTGGAATTTTTCATTTCTTTCTTTAGCTCATTTTTCTGTTTTTTATAGAGCAGTGGTAATTTGGTGCTTATTTCCAACATGACTTATCATAGCCATACATTCTTCTGTCCACAGGTTTATGCCGCCGCGCACTAGATCCATTTCTAGAGGTTTGTTTTGTGGTTTTTTTTTTCAACTTGCATGTCGGATAGTTAAGAAATGGACTAGCTAATTTTCACTTTCGCTAACAGTAGCAAAACTCTTACTTCCTGATCCTGTTACCACTGTTTGGTCCGAGTGTGGAGAGAACAACTTACAGCTTTGTATCACCAATTACTTCAAGGTATTCTATAACCAGTCTCATTTGCATTTCGGATATATAAGAGTTAACTATTTTGTGTGTCCTGAGTTGGGATTGGCTGTCCTAGTTGTTCTTTGCTATTATTTACACCTGATTCACCTGTGTTAATACTCCTATTGCTATATATGCAATAAGAGAATCCATTGCCTTGTAACTGTATAAGATTTCTATTTACTTGCATTGGGGCTATAGATAAATTACTGTTTATTTTATCTTGGGCTATACATACAAACTACTTGCATTGGATGCTATATATGCCTTTCAATTTCTGTTTAGCATCCTTAATTGCCAACTTTCGCTAATCTATTTGTCGTACATAAAGTGTAAAAAACCAATGGCTGGTAAGGTTGGTTCATCAAGGCAAGGTCGCGCCCAATTTCCAATGGAGCGAGAACTTGAATTTGCGGAGTACTTGGTTGAAATTAAACGGGATAATAGAATGAACAAGGGCAACTTAAAGAGCGAGGTCTTCCCGGCAATTGTTGATAAATTTGCCAAAAAAGGATGCCACTTTGACAGAAATCAAATCAAGGCGAAGTATTATGCATTAAGGCAGATGACACAAGAATACAATCGCATGCGATTGAGGGTGACTGGGGCCGGATGGGATCCCCTCCTCCAGACTGTAACCATGGATGAAAGCAAATGGCAAGCTATTATTAAGGTAGAAAATTAATTTTTTGTATTTCATTTCATAAAGTGAAATGGCAAGCTATTATTAAAATGGCAAGCTTATAAAGTGAAAAAACTGTTTTTTTAACATCCTTTAATGGTACATTTTTGGTGTTAAATGTGTAGGAGAACCCATCTTTTGAGACTTTCCACAACAAAGATTGCCGTGTCTTCTACATGTTATCGGAGGTGTTTGACAAAATGGATGCCCAAGGGCGATATGCAAGGGACTCAAATCAGCCACCAGTTGACATCAATGATGAGATAAGGGTGAGGCAAAGTCAAGCATTGAACAATATGGGTGGCCAGAGCATGGAGCACGTGGACCTGACTGATGAAATGATCTCTCCTATGCCTCCAACTGGGAAATCGGATGCCAAACATTCAAAAAGCAAAGGCAAAGGGAAAAGGAAGACTCCGGAATCTTCAACCGGCAGGGACACCGACCTTCCGCCTGGTCTAAGTCGCACCTCCTACAATAATGCCATATCTTGGATGGATGCGACATTTGCTTCCGATCGGAACACCTCCCAGACCGTAGATGCCCCAGCACCCCCACCTGCTGCTACTCCAGCTCCTCCTCCTCCGATTTATGTGGATGATGACCCTTTCAGCCCTCTAAAGGCAGATGCAGCCTTAACCAAAATAGAAGAAGGCTTGCCCGAGAAAGTATACATTAAAGCAGCTGTGAAGTTGGCTGATTCCGCTGACCATCGGAAGATGTTTCTGAGTCAAAAGAATGAAGCTAGGATGCGGTTATATGCAATGACTATTGGGGGGGGCGAAATAGATGATTAAGACCTGCATGTGCCTCGAGGTTCATCACCAGTTGGAAGGCCATAAGTTTGCATGTTTTAATGTAAAATATTTGTATTCGTGGTTGTAGGATGCAGGTTTTCCCTGTTGGGAAACGAACTTGCACTGTGGTTGTCTTATTTCATAGTTTGGATAATTTTAAGACGATTTGAGAAACTTTCAGCATTTCGGATATGCATTTTTTAGAAAATTAATAATAAATAGGATTTCTACTTTAATATAAGCGTTGCTTCACTAGTTCATGTATTTCCTGGCTTTTCAGGCATGAAAGGCCTTATCCTATACTCTATTTCCCCATGCAGGTGTTTTGTCTATACAGAGGATAAATGGCTAGCGCTCCGCCCAATTTTGGAGTGAATTTAGATGACCCAGAGGATGCAAGGAGAGCCGCAACTGCTGTGTTGATTCTACAGTGGCACTTTCAAACCCATAGAGTTCCAAGGACAAGGCAGCTAGTCCATACGAGTGCTATGACTGGTCAGGGTTGGGTTGAGGACCTACTGGGAGGAAGGTGCATTAGGATGCTTAACAACATGCGCATGGATGTGCCCACATTTATTCAACTATGTCGGATAATGCGAGAAGGTGGATACATTATTGAGGGTCCCTGTGATAAAGTGACAGTAGAGGAAAGCGTAGCAATTGCCTTATATGGGTTGAGCCATGATTTGACACAAAGAGTGCTAGGTGAACGATTCCAGCATTCCACTGAGACAATTCATCGACATGTTCGCCGTCTATGCCAGGCCTTAGTCCAATTAGCACCTATTGCACTCCGACATAGGAATACAGATACTACTCATCCTCGGATTCGGAATAATAGACGACTTTAGCTGCACAGAAAAAGCACGCTTTCACAGAATGTTTTAGCTGCATGTGACCACGATATGAGGTTCGTATATGTCAGAGCTGGCTGGGAAGGAAGTGCCCATGATAGCCGCGTCTTATTGGATGCTCTTTCCAATCCGGATGCAGCATTTCCTGTACCACCGGCTGGAAAATATTACGCGGTTGATGCAGCGTACAGACACATGCCAGGATTCATGGCGCCTTTCAAGAGTGGTCCAGGAGGGAGATCACAGACTGCACAGAAAGGATTATTTAATCGCCGTCATTCTTCGGTTCGGAACATAATAGAGAGGACGTTTGGGGTATGGAAAATGAGATTCAAAATTTTGGATGGACCAATGAAAAACTATCCTATTGAGGCACAGAGAAACATTGTAGTGGCATGTTGTGTACTGCACAATTTCATTAGGGAGATGCAGCCATACGACGTCTACTTGACGGATGAAGCGAATATGGAAGGCACAGATACCGAAGGAGCTCAAATGCAACAATTCCACGTTACTCCAGAAGCAATCCATGATTGGAAGGAATTACGAAATGCAATGGCTGATCACATGTACCTTCATCGAAATGAGTAGTATATGGTTGCCACGCTTGATTTCCACGTAGCCCTAACTATTTCCAATTGTATAATATGACTCTTTTTTAATATTTGGGATGAATATTTGGTACTGTAAAAATTTAAGCATTCTGGTCAAGGTTGGGTTAACGGATTCCTTTTCCACTTGAGTGAATGTAATATTTTCACAACTATGCCAAATTATTTTGTTATAACAAATTATTTGCATACAGGTGTGAGAATTTATATTACTGTGAAATATAAGAAAAGTTCCATGTGTATTTTTTTAAAAAATTTTTTAGAACAAAATCACCATAAATTCTCACAAAATCTAAGGTCCAGCAAAATTGCTTTAAGGTGACAATTAAAAAATGAAAATAAAAAATTTATCTCAATACGATCTAAATCACGTCTAGAAAAGGGGTTATGGATAAACTTAAAAATCGATCGGGAAGGACCTCCAAAATTTAGACAATGATTCATTTATTACTACAATCAATCTAGTTCATTCTCCTGATAAGTTCATTGATATAGTCTTCACGGTTGCCAGCATTGCCTAGTGATTTCTCTTCTTCTTCAAGCCACTAAGAGGCGCCATAAGTTTGAATGGCCAGAGAAAATTGTTTGCTTCTAGTTAAACTGAGGTCTAACTGTCAGGATCTCATGGGCAAGGTCTTTAATGCAGCTAATACCATGTTTTTAATAAGCCCGTTCAATGATTGAGTTGTCAATCAATGCAATTCTCTGCTTGTTTACCTTGCCATAGCCTCTCTTGTAAATCAATTCCTTAATACTCTTCAAGTTGGGTATCCATAAGCAACATAAGGCTCAATGCCCTGTACCATATTCAGCATTGCCTTGTTAACCTTTAAGAATACACTATTAAATATCTGTCTCAGGTGCAGAAGCTGCAAAATCTTCTTAGTCCTTGGATGCATAGCATTGATACCTCGAATGCGAACAATGAAAAGCAACTTGGCTTCCGGGTTGAAAAAAATGTAATCCTAATTTTGATACAGTAAGAGCACAATTTTTGGAAAAAGGAACAAAAAAATGTAGGGAGGAGTTTTTTTTTAAGTTATAAAAAAAATTTGAAAAAAAAAATCTACACTTTTTGTAATTTTGAAAAATTTTTTTTTAAAAATTGCTACAGTAAAGTTTTTAAAAAACTTTATAATAGTAAAAGTTTTTTCTACTACTTCTACAGTGATCTACAGTAAAGTTTAAGACAAACTCCCAAAAAACTCAGGTTCCAAACAGGCCCTTAGTTTTTGATTTGTATGTGGAGGTGCCGGTAAGCGCTCATCGAGGGCGGTTACAAGTATTAGCTTTTCAAAAAAAAAATATATATATATATATATATGGGATAATTGCAGAAACCTCCCTTGAGATTTCTGACATTTGCATTGACCTCCCCTCTAGGTTTAGAAATTGCATTCACCTCCCCTGAATAGTAACAATTCGTTGCAGAAACCTCCCTGACAAATAGTTTGTTAATTAGTTAGTTAATTAATTAGTTAATTAGTTAACCAGTTAATTATTTAATTAGTTTAACATGCAAATAGTTTGTAAGTTTCGGACAAACAATAGCTTTAGTTAATTAGTTAATTAGATAAATAGAAATTAGTTAATTAGTTAATTAATTAATTAGAAAATTAGTTAGTTAATTAATTAATTAGATAATTAGATAATTAATTAATTAGATAATTAGTTAATTAATTAGTTAAGCAGTTAATTAGTTAATTAGTTTAACATGCAAATAGTTGGTTAGTTTTGGATAGACAATAGCTTTAGTTAATTAGTTAATTAGATAATTAGTTAATTAGATAAACAGAAATTAGTTAATTAATTAATTAAATAATTAGTTAGTTAATTAGTTAATTAGTTTAACATGCAAATAGTTCGTTAGTTTGGACAGACAACAGCTTTAGTTAATTAGTTAATTAGTTAAGCAGTTAATTAGTTAATTAGTTTAACATGCAAATAGTTTGTTAGTTTCAGATAGACAACAACTTTAGTTAATTAGTTAATTAGATAAAAAAAAATTAGTTAATTAATTAATTGGATAATTAGTTAGTTAATTAGTTAAGCAGTTAATTAGTTAATTAGTTTAACATGCAAATAGTTTGTTAGTTTAGGATTAGACAACAACTTTAGTTAATTAGTTAATTAGTTAAGCAGTTAATTAGTTAATTAGTTTAACATGCAAATAATTTGTTAGTTTCGGATAGACAACAACTTTAGTTAATTAGATTAACAAAAATTAGTTAATTAGTTAATTAGGTAGTTAATTAGTTAAGCAGCTAATTAGTTAATTAGTTTAACGTGCAAATAGTTTATTAGTTTTGGACAGACAACAGCTTTATTTAATTAGTTAATTAGATAATTAGTTAATTAGATAAATAGAGATTAGTTAATTAGATAAACAGAAATTAGTTAATTAATTAATTAGATAATTAGTTAATTAGTTAATAGTTAATTAGTTTAATTATGCAAAAATAGTTTGATTAGTTAATAACTATTAACAATTAGATAATTAGTTAATTAGTTAATAGTTAATTAGATAATTAGTTATTAATTAATTAGATTATTAGTTATTTAGTTAATTAGTTAAACTATGCAGAAATAGTTAATTTAGTGTAATTTTTATTAACAAATGTTTTGTTGGGTTTGATGAAAGTACTCATCACATTCATTTGGTAAAATTAAATCATGTCAGGGGTACTTTAGCAAATTGACCCACTTTTGCCTATTAAATTGCCTCCAACTTTTGATAGGGGAGGTCAGTGCTATTTCAAAATTGATAGGGGAGGTCAATGCTATTACTATAAAAGTCAGGGGAGGTTTCTGCAATTATCCCATATATATATATATATAAAGATAATAAGCTTTCAAATGCTTTGGTATAACTGTATAAGTTTTCAAATGATGCTTATGGGGAGGCAGTTGGATCCAGCCGCGTAGAGCCAGTGTGCACGCGCCAGCCAACCGTGTTTGCCGAATCCCGCAAACTTTATAATTTAGTAACTTTACTCCCTGACCGCGTGTACATCCCTATTATTTGAATTTCTGTTTATTAGTGCTGCGTTATGACAACAATGTAATTAATGATGATGTAATTATTCTCTAGTGATAAATGTTTGAGGGGATAATTTAAGAAACCTAAGCTCCACAAAGGTTTCTGACATATTTTACTTTCAAACTTTAAAAAAAATCTCACTTGTTTTCCTTACTTTAAAATTGTGTGTTTTTTTTTTTTAAACATTTGCAACTCATTTCAAAGTATAACATTACAGACCGCATTTCACATAAGAGAATATAATCTCATCCTAAATTTAGACTTTTCTCGTGGCCTCTTAATTGTTATGACACACTAATTCGATGTCTCAATTGTTTTTGTAAATTTGGTTGATGTGGCTCTTTAATAGAAATTTAAAAGTTAATAAAGGCCATTTAATTGTTTTTGTTTCATTGGTTTGGACATGAAAGATGAAAATTTAAATAATTTATAATACTCATAAAAATAACTTCAAATATTTCACCAAAATAAAAATAACTTTTTTTTTAAAATAGAAAATTCAAACAAATAAATGATTTATAAAACTGATTAAATTAAGTCAAAATTCTTTAAAATAAATAAAATAATATTTCTTGTAACTTGAAAAAACCTCAAATAAACTTTCAAATATCAACTCATTGCATTTTAAAAATGAACTATATTTTGTCTCATTAGAATTAAACCTTCATTTTTAAAAATTATTGTCAATATAATCACATTTTTGTTTTTTTTTGGAGAAAAATTATGCTCTCTCCCAAAATGAGTTTTTTAATGTTATATTTTGAAATAGGTTACAAATGTTATAAAAATCTTAAAGTAGGGGAGGCAAGTGAGATTTGTTAGAGTTCAAAGGTGACGAGTGATATTATTATTGTTGACAAAGCTCAAGCAAATTATCCCATCTTTGAGGCCTCCCTCCCCAAACCCCAACACCAGCTGAGTACAACTGTACAACAGTCCAATGGTCCCATCATCAATTTTAAATTCCACCGGACCGCGTTTCGCGTACAATAACATCACTGTACCTTTTCCACGACGCAACACAAATTAAGCTTAAAGCTGCTGCTGCTTCTTGGCTCCTCCATAAATACACAGCCTTTTCGTCTTAAACTCAACAAATTCCTCCACACCCCCTAAATCACCATTCGCTCTCTCTCGTCCTAGCTAGCTACTTTGTGATCTCAACTCCAACAAACAAAAAAAAAGCAATAAATAAATAAATATGCACAAGCATAAATCAGCAGTAGTTGCTCGAAGAGCCTGGAATTCCCTCCGGCTGGCCTTGCTATGGGCTAGAAGAGGTGGACATTTCAAGAACAGGCGGCTGATGGTGGATCTGCGTTTACTTCCCAAGTTCAACAACAGAACCACCTCCTCCAGCAACGACTATTATCGTCATCGACGGGGTGCTCTCCATTACGGCGAGCGGCAGCTTTCATTCGACGATACTCCCGTCATACACTTCAAGATGCATCGTCCTTCTTCCCTGCGATTCAAGATGCCCAGCATTCCCTGCATTACTGGTGCCCCCCAGGTGGATTTCGACGACTATGATTTTGATCGCCACGAGTGCGGTGGTACCGGTCATGATACGTACTATCTTTCTGAAGCCCACAATGATGTAGCGCTCTCCAGGAAGAGTACTCTCCTAAAGGCAGCAGGCGATTACATTACCAGTGACGAAGAAGAAGAAGGATATGATGATGATCGTTCCAATACTATGGTTTGTGATCATCAAGAAACCAACGAAACTCCTCGTAGCTGTGACGATGGAATCGATTTGAAGGCGGAGCAGTTCATTGCTAACTTCTACCGACAAATCAAGCTCCAGAGACAAATATCGTATCTGCAATATCATGACATGATTAGTCGGGGTGCGAGCTAGAAATTGCTCGGTGAAACAGCTGTCGCTCCCAATCTATTCCACACCCGTCGACGCCACCCGCTGCTCTTTTTTTTTTTTTGACTTCACGCATTTACACCAAATTCCTTTCTATAATAGTTTACTCCGATGAGCATACTAGCATGTGTTGCGGCATTATTTTTGTATATAACAGAGGCTTTTTTAATAAATGTATTTCCTACAATAACAGAAGGGAAATTCATTGGCTTCCAACGATAATGATGATACGTTTTCTTGTTGAGCTCTTGCCGTTGCCTATCGACGACAATGATTAAAGATTATATGCATAAGGGCATAAGGATTCGTGTCTTGTAGGTTAGTACATGTCCCGCTATTAAAGCTGAAGAAAGTCATAAAGTGGATATCGATTCGTGCCTCGGTGGCTTCCAGGCAAGGTTTATAAAATCGGGATCTTACGTAGGATCGATTTTAGTTTCACAGGATCGGATTGTAGAATCGTAAGATCCTACCAAAAGCTCTTAATTGCAATTAAAGGTTGCAATTCTTTGATAAATTACAAATATACCACAAATATTTTCATTTATTTGCAAAATGGAGCTTCGTATTTCACAAATTTACAAAAAAATTGTAGGATCGTACGATCCTACCGATCCTACGATCCTACACGATCCTGCTACGATTCTATGCGATCCTGTAAAAAATTAATATGATTTGCGACTCTGCATACGATCCGGATCGCGATTTTGACAACTATGCTTCTAGGTGGATTTTGGAAGAGGCTTATGTTTGGAAAAAACGACACGCCTAAGTTCGTTGCAAATTTTAAGTCCCAATTGGTAACTTGATTGGGACTCGTCGTCTGTCTATCTTTACAGCAATACCTTTGGTTCGATTTCTATTTACTATAATTGCTGGACATCTTTGCCTTTGATTCGATTTCTATTTACTATAATTGCTGGACATCTTTGCCTTTGATTCGATTTCTATTTACTATAATTGCTGGACATCTTTGGGACGGGCTCTCTCTTTAGAAGAAAGGAAAGGGTTTGTACGTTAATTAATTTTCTTCACAAGAAAAGTGTTGATTAATCATTCAATCATTTTAATTGTAATAGTGTTTAAACAAACATATTAGAATATGGCATATTGGTATTGGAATGGATACGGTATTTTTTTTTTTCTCCGAAAATTTTATCGTGGGGTGATTACGTGATATTTTCAGAAAAATGTTTTCCACCAGAGTCTTCTAATAACAAGAGTCTTCCACTGATAAGGTAACTGCCATCAGAAAACGAAAATTTACTAATGTGATGCATGAACTAGGCTCCAATTCTCATTCTAATGCAATTCTCATGAACGAAAAAACAAGGTTTAATTCCTATGGAAACTCTAGAATAAAATAGAAGTTCAAATTAGGACGAACAACTATCCCCGGAGGAAAAAGGAAAGAAAGAAAGAAAGAAAGAAAAGGCGAGTTTGAATCAAAGAGTCAGTATAGAAGAACTACTACCTTCTTGTTTGCTTTGCTACGGTGAACGAAGGGCTGTCCGATGCTGTTGGTGGCCGCCGCGGAAAATTAGCGGAAACCATTTACGTGTCATTGTAGGATCCAATGTGGGGGCTCATTTTGGTAAACGCGAGTTCTTGTATTCCGGAATAATATTCCCTTTGATACGGGAAACTTTTAACAGGGGGAAAAAAAAAAAGAGGTCAAAACCAAGAAGAAGAAGTGGTAATATTACTAATATTCGTGTGGGGTGGCATTTGCTGCTGGTTCCCTATATAACCGAAAAAATGGTGGGAGGAAGGGTGAGCAGGTGCGGTGCTGATACCAAAGAGAGGGATTTGCTCTCAAAGTGTCGCCCTGCATTCTTGCAGGCTAGGTAGGTAGGTAGGCCTGCTCTGGTCACCACCAACCAGAACGAACAAAAAAACTCCCCACCCCAGTTGATTAAACATCCTTTCTCTCTTCTCAATCCGAACCAGAATTCTTTGCTGGTTCATCCGTTGGCATTAACCATGCCCATGCCGGTGCCGCTCGAAGAAAACTTCAACGACAACACCACCTCTGGCGGCATCATCAACGAAGATGGCGTTGCGGCTAAAGAATCGGCATTCATTCCCACTGCCGATACGGGTACGGCTACCACCGTCGTTCCATCAATGAATAAAAATGGGAAGATGAACATTAATAACAACAGTAATAAGGAGGAGGAGAAGAAGAAGAAGAAGAAACGCCCCTTGGGCTTCTTCAGAGCTGCATTAATGTTGCTGCGATCTGATTCCAAGTCCAAGAAAAAACCACCGCCCGCTCCAGAAGGAGTGGACCCTGATGATAGGATCCACTCCAAGACGAAGTGGGAGAAGATGGTGGGATCGATGAGGCCGTTGCATCTGCAGGACAACCGCTCCCTCTCCCCCGCTTCACCCCCCCGGCCAGGGGTTGAAAGTTTGGAGTCGGAGGATCGGATTTATAACAACAGCAGCGCCATGATGAGCATCCATCAGCACCAGCCCTCCTCCCCATCACCATCCACCGTCTCCTCCGGTGGCACCATGAGCCAATACGCTTCCGCTAGCAATCTCCAAGAACTCGAACAAGACTACTACCAGGGTAATGATGACGATGATCCTGATGAGGTTTTTGATGCTCTGTGCGGGGATGAAATGATCGACGCCAAGGCCGAGGAGTTCATCGCTCAGTTTTACCAACAAATGAAGCTTCAGCAAATCAATTGACGACATTCACCAATCACCACCGCTGCGATCCCATAAATGTCAATCGTATTGATGCTGCAGGCGTCAGGTGCCCCAATAAAAGGATATTCACCACTCCCTGTTTCTGCTCCCCACACACACACACACACTGATTTCATTTTTTCCATGCATTTTCCCTCGAGTCTTTTAACTTAGCTTTCTCATGGGAGTAATTAATGTTGCATAGGCCGACAGATTTATAGCTTCTTCAGTTCTAAATCACTTGTTAATGAAGAAAAAAAAACGCAATGTAACTGCGAATTACGCAGATCGCAGCGCAAAGAAGAAAATTGAATACCACATTTGTGCTATCTCCGGGGTTTTTTCTTTTTCTTCTTATTCTTTCTTTCTTTCTTTCTTTTTTTTGGTATACACATCTACTGTGGATTGTATTTACACTGACACACACACACACGCAGAGAAGGGTGTTGGCTGGTTAAAAAGGTTGTTGCTTTTAGTTTTATTACTCCGTTGAATTAAAAGTTTGTAATTTCTTAACGAATTCCTGCCTCACATTGGCAAACCATTCTCTGTGAGTACTACTTTTCTTTTGCATTACCACTTCTTACCGAGCTAATTACTGCCCATGTTTAATCTACTTAAATAAAAAAATCTGGGGAAGGGAACCATCAAAAGCTGGAGTCATCAGGCATTGATGCCTGAAGTTGGAGGACTCATCAGGCATTGATTCATTTGCTCAAACCCCAATCTTTAAACATCCGCCAATAAATTTCCCTAATTCGAGAACACAAAGCACCAGAACCGCATAATGTCAGAAATTAATGTCGAGGATCGTGCCAGCGTAATAATAACCTCAATCTAACAGATTGTAAACACTGGAACGAACCCAAAAAAAAAAAAAAAAAAAAAGAGCATGAAGAATCTGCGTCCAAATAAGCAATCCATCACTGATATTAGCACATAAGCATTAAAAGAAGAATGAGAACATCCGAGAATAGGAATTGAGAGTAGGAGTAGCTAGTAACCGTGAATGATTTCGGAGCACTTGTTCTTAAGCCAGCGAAGCCCATCCTTGATGGAAGCCTTGACCCTGCCTTCGAGGCTGTACACTTTGTACTTTGCTATTCTCTTGCATCTCTTCATCTCAGCATCACCGAACCCCCGCGGCGGCTTAGACTCCGCCTCACGATAATGATCATGAGGCCGGCTCATCGCGTAAACCCCCTCCTGGTTAAACCCTCTTCCGCTCACGATCTCCACTCTCCGCTCTGACCCACCTCGACCACCAAAACTCGGCCTGTGCTCCCCCATCGTTCTCAATCTCGCGCAGCAAGCTACAAAACGGAAACTGAGACAAAAAAGGAGGAAGGAATGAAGGAGGGGTATTATACGTTTTAATGCTTTTTTGGTAGTACGATTCTATATTCGGGAGGCAGATGTCAACGTGTTTTTCTTTTGGGCATTGGGCATGACACAGCAGCAGAAATTTGGCTGGAATGCTGCTGTATTTTGTGTTTCTCTAGATTCTATATATGTTATTTTGGTGGTCTAGCATCCTTGTACCCTCTTTAATTTTTTTTTCCTTTTTTTTTTCGATAGTAGTAACATGCCAATATGGCTTCACTTGGTTTAGGACATGCTATAACCACATGGGTTTCTTATATACATTCAACACTTTTTTTTTTTACATTATTATTTTCACATTGCTATAAATTATTTTAGAAAAATCATTCAAAACGTCTATCACATTTCGTCAAATGGATTTTTTCGTACTTCACCCTTAAAATGGTAACTTTATATCACTTACAAAATCAAATAGGTAATATTTGATCACAAGCTAAGTTTTCGATCACATTTTACCATCAATCTATCACAAGTCCAACGTATGATCATTTATTAAGAAAGATTAGATTCTATTTGTAATTAAATAAATGACCAAATCCATGTTCTTTTTTGTCCCTAAAAAAGTAAGATATGACCAGAATCATATTTATTTTTTGTTGAAAAAGTGGGATCAGACCCAATTCATATTCATTTGTTTATCTTTTTTTTTCTTATAAGTATGAAATCTTGAATTCATAACCTTCTACTTATAATTCTTTCCACCTTACTATTCGACCTAGTCCGTTTCCAAATTAATATTTCATTTTTATCACTAAAAAAGTGGAATATGACTTTTTTGCTTTTTTGTATATAAAAAATGATTGCATATGAGTTATGCAGTGATTTTAGGCTAAAAAATAGTAAAAAAATTAGGTCGGAACTAAATTTTGCTAATTTGAATTTATAAAAGACGTAAAGGT